AGAAGGGATGAACACCGAGGACGACGAGAAGATTTCCGCGGAGGAACAGATCGATTTTGAAAGTCAACCAAGTTGTATCTAACAATCGAGACGAAGACGAATAAACTTTTACCAACCCTTTTTCGAACATACTTAGTAGTTTGATTTTTGCGCGTCTCGCCGAGCAGAGCGGTTCAGCGCTCTACGGGTACCAGAGATACCAGAAAAGCACCGCCGGGTGCACACGCTCCCATGCCAGATACGCGTACATGAGCTCGTGGAGTTTCGGAAAGTCGACAAAGGCAAACTGACGCATGCCCTCTTTCTCGATTCTCCGAAGCTGCCCGAAGTAATTTCGGATCGCCTCGTGGGAGTCGAGAGAGCAAGGTTCACATTTGCCTTCTCGCTCTAAACAACTGAAATCCGACCTCCCGTCAACGGCATACGATTTGGATTCTCGAGCCGAGATTCTCGACTGCCCAGGCATTTTTACTTTCCGACCTATGTAGGCGCACATAAGCAAAGTACCCATAATGAAAAAAAAATTTTGTAAAATTTATTTTACGGAAATACACGTTTTAAGACCTCCTGATCATATTTTAATTATTGAAAAAAAAGACATTTTTTTTTATTCCCATGTATGAGCACACATATGTATATTATTAATACGATTTTTGAAAATCAAAATACTTTAAGATTGAAAATTAATAAATTAAAATGAGATTCCACTCTTTACCAGTATTGTGCACGCTGTGGTATTTTTCAATAAGAAGAGTTCTTACTTTTATAACATAAACAAAACAGTAGAATTAATAATTGCAGAAATTAATTAATAATGATTTTCCTCGATTGTTTTGAAATAACCGTATCAATTGGTTATGACGAACTAAATAGAACTAACTAGAAACAAAGGAAAAGTGATCCCGTTTGCCAGTTTAATACAAAGTATGGGTTGTATCTTAAATTTTAAAAGGACATAGTCGAATATTTTTAAAGGTACAAAACATAGCGTTTCATTGTAGAACAGTAACATAAGTTAGCAGGTAATGTCATAAAACTGTTTTTCTCAGCTATATCCCTTTTTACCTGAAGTATAAGGTAAAAAGTACGAGCTACAAGGTACGACTATCCGAAAATCGTTCACATTTTATCAATGTAAATGAAGCGGCCTTTCCATCAGAGTTAGATACAAAATTTTGTTATTTCTGTGAAAACAAAACTTTCAGTAAATGTACGTGGTGCTTGAAATTTTTATGTTTTGACTGTTTTTGTGAAAAGTACCATCCAGATTCATGTACTTCGTACATGGAAAATAACATATGTTAAATGTAATCGGTTAAATTTAACTTTAAAAAAAAATATTCGAAGGTCAGACAAAAATATAATGTCATATTTAGTGTACGATTAAAGTATGATTGAAAAAATAAAAAAAAAAAGTTCAAGCAGGGTTCGAACCAGCAGAGCAGAAGAAGTTCGGAACTTGCAGGCAAAGACCTCATCACTCACGCCACGCTGACTAGTGGTGAACACAGTTCTATTTCTGAAAATAAGTACCTGTAATAACTTTAATAATATCTCAAAGTAAAACCTAACCCAAAACCTGGTACCATTCCAACTTTTCCTTGTTAGAAACGAGTTTTCAATTTGTCTTAGCGAAAATCGCAATCACATTTTGCACATTATTCTAAAACATTTGTGGTATTCGTTTTCAATGCGATTTAAGTAAGCATGTAATGTATAAGATTTCATTTAATGTTTTCTTTTCTAGAGAAGATAGAGAAAAAGTTTATATAATTTTTTTTATATAAAATTTAATTCGTCCTAAGATTTATATGAAACATTTAAAAGATTTTTTATACATTATGCCTATATATCGGAACAACTATGAAACAAGAGGTATAATCTGTAAGGAGTGTATGCGTGGCTAGGAGAACCGTTATCGTTTGCGTCGATAGGAGTGTTTAGTCTAAGCTAGAGTAGGTATCGAGTGAGGTGTTTAGGTTTAAGCTGAAATACGTTTTAGAGACTGCGTCTCGAACGTGCGTTTTGTTTAGATCATTATTATAAGATAGGAATAAGGAAGGGTCGACTTTGACTGCAGGAACGTCACTCTGTATCGAACGTTAGTCGAGAGCAATCACAGTTTTACGTTTATGATCTTTTACGTTTACGTTTTATGTCTTTCTTTTATGTTCTTTATGTTAAATAGTTAGTAAATATTAAATAATATAATTACATCGTTACGTTTAGTGTTCACGTATTTGAATCCGTCCACACGCCTTTGAAATGAGAACATAAAACTTAAATGTAAAGTTTCATTTAAATTCATTCAGCTATTTATATTCAATCGTATTAACCAGTTAACTGTGGCACGCTCGTTTGAGAGCGCGCACCGTTTTGTGTCGCCAGAATCGAGCCATGACGAGTATACTCGTCAATCACAGAGTAAGTTGCGCTGGTAAGATATTGGATCAAAAAGATGGGTTTATTTTATAAAATTGACAATTTTATTAGTAATATTTACTTATTTGTTTAACATACACATATATTACATACATATTAAACTAAACACGCAATAAAAACCCACTCGATAGCTAGATATCTTCGGGCCAGTAGGTATCAATAGGCTCAGCGCCTGGTCGGTGTCACGCATTTGTCCCATGACTGACCATACCTGAAGGAACCCTATTAAAAATCAACTTTCTGACTTTTGCCTTTGCCCCTTTTAGGCTAACATCTAAAAAACGTTATCATTGCACATAAATAAATTCGTTATGCGAACTGGTAAGCTGTTTCAGCCGGTGCATACGGGGATGCATAAGTTCATCTCAAATTATTTATATTTTTTATTTGCTTGTTTTATTCCGCCATGGCCTCAAAATATTCTAAACATCTTGAAATTTAAGAATATGTTTTGTTTTTCTCAAAAATTACAATTTAAATAGTCAATGGTAACTACTTTATAGGCATGACGAGTATACTCGTCAATACACAAAATCGTGCCACTTCTCCATGACGAGTATACTCGTCAATCACAGTTAACTGGTTAATAATATACATGTGTGCTCATACATGGGAATAAAAAAAATTTCTTTTTTTTCAATAATTAAAATATGATCAGGAGGTCTTAAAACGTGTATTTCCGTAAACTAAATTTTACAAAATTTTTTTTTCATTATGGGTACTTTGCTTATGTGCGCCTACATAGGTCGGAAAGTAAAAATGCCTGGGCAGTCGAGAATCTCGGCTCGAGAATCCAAATCGTATGCCGTTGACGGGAGGTCGGATTTCAGTTGTTTAGAGCGAGAAGGCAAATGTGAGCCTTGCTCTCTCGACTCCCACGAGGCGATCCGAAATTACTTCGGGCAGCTTCGGAGAATCGAGAAAGAGGGCATGCGTCAGTTTGCCTTTGTCGACTTTCCGAAACTCCACGAGCTCATGTACGCGTATCTGGCATGTGAGCGTGTGCACCCGGCGGTGCTTTTCTGGCATCTCTGTTTCCGACTCTTCGTAGGGAATTCGGCGGGGAACGCTGCCCGTGGAGTTGTCGCGTATTTTAGCGGGGAATTTGAGATAAGAACGCGGGTTGGTGCCCGTGGAGCGCAGAACCGCTCTGCTTGTCGGAGTGTGGGAATTTAATAAAACTAGACAAGAGAACTCTTTCGTTAGGTAACTTCGTACTTTATTCTACTGGTCCGAAGGCCGGTTAGAGACGCAATGACATAAGAAAAATCGTAGCGTTTCGAAGTCACCTCCGAGGTCCTCGCCGAAGTCGTTGGCCAAATCCTCCTAGTCCTCCCATAGATCCTCGTAGTCCAATCAGGGTGAAGGACGCATCAGATCCAAGCGGTAGGCCGTCCTTCCGATGCACGCACGCCCCCGCGAATCGGCGTCTAACTTTCCCTCCGTCTTCGGGTGGTGGTGGGAACTCGGTGGAGTCGCGCTTTTCCGTTACACAGCGGGGTGCCCACGTGGGAAGAGAAAGTAGGCTCTGCTCCGAGGATCGAGGGAACAACCCTTGAAGGAAATTTATGACTTCCTTAGCGTCGCCAGCATTTCTGGAGTCGATCGACGCTCCTAAGACTAACAAAAGGACAAGGCCTTTTCAAGAGGTTACGTGACTTACAAGAAACTCGCGATTCGTTTCGGGGTCTGCTAATTGGTGTCCTCTTCCTGTTTTCGAGCTCTACCCAAGATCTTTCCCACGCGTGCCACCAGCATCGCGCATCCTTAACAATATTCTCTCAATCACGCATAACCATCCGCTTTTGAATTTCGCTCCTAATTTACCTATCGATTATTATATTTCTGGGGCTACGTTCGCGTGGTCACGCAACACCTCCCTCCATATAGAAAAGGTGTTTCCAATGGAAACATCTTTTAAAAGGAAAACAATTGTTACGTCCCGAGATAGCGGTTTAGGGAAAAAGGACGGTGGGTTGGTGCCCGTGGAGCGCTGAACCGCTCTGCTCGGCGAGACGCGCAAAAATCAAACTACTAAGTATGTTCGAAAAAGGGTTGGTAAAAGTTTATTCGTCTTCGTCTCGATTGTTAGATACAACTTGGTTGACTTTTAAAATCGATCTTGTCCTCCGCGGAAATCTTCTCGTCGTCCTCGGTGTTCATCCCTTCTCTGGAATATTCCTTGATCCTCCCTCTGGATTGTCCTGGTCCAATCGGGGTTCGTGCTTTGCTCCCTCCATCCGGATCGTCTTCGATCGATGATCCACCCCCGAGCCGAGTGGAGGTGGAGGTTTCGCGGCCATGTTGGAGCGGCGCGCGTGAGAGAGAGCGTGGGAGTCGAGAGAGAAAATGAGGCTAGCGGCCTAAGCAACCCTTAAGAAAATTTATGACCCTCGTGAGAGTAAACGAAACTCGAAGTGAAGTGTCGCGAGGCCCTGCTGCGTGTCAAGACCATTGAAACTCTTATCGGAAATAGCTAAACGGTCACGGTCCGTAATGACTAAACAATAAACTAAAGGAACGATGGAATCTCGACATCGACGCGGCCTTTAGAAAATAAACCAAGTGTCTGAAAAGAAGTGCCTTCCTTTCTCTCTACCTTCCCCAGCTTGATCGCCCACGTTGAAAAATATACGATCGTATTGTTTATTATAATACGTTGGTCCGTTTGAAATTCGCTCTTAACTAAACGCAGTTACATGATTCTGGACTCGACGGTGAATAATCGGGTTACAGTTAATTCCCGTTGTGGCGCTATGTGCATTAAACTTACGTTCACGTGATAGCGTAACACCTCCCTTCTTATACAAAAAGGTGTTTTGATAAAACAGCTTTTAGGTAAACGCCGATATTCATATTCATTATCCTGTGGTCGGTCGGTGTCCGTTACAATATTTACGCGTACAATATTCTCATGCTTATCATGCCTCCATGTTTTCGAGATTACTTACTACTCGCAGAAAAAATAGTTAATATTTCCCGGTACAGACGCTTATCGAAATATAAAGTTAATAATAGTCAGTGAGGTGATTCGCAATAACTATACATCATTGACAACTACAAGCAGAGGTACATAAGGTTAGAGGTAAGTGTGATATAAATTATATATATGGAGAACATAATTAGAGCGCAGTCCTGAATTCGCAGAATATTACATTGAGTAACCTTTACATTGAGTATTACACGTTAATTTATTTAGTCTTCTTCGGAAGGAGAGTTCGGTCTTATATGTGCCAGTTTAAGTTTATTAGTGTGTACTATCTTAAATCTATTTTTTCCTAGCGCTAATTCTGCCGTTAAATCGCTGAATAATCGATTTATTTTGTAGGGACCTAGCCAATTACAGTCGAATTTGGAGGTTTTGGGCTCCTTAAGCAGGTATACTATATCGTTTAAATTAAATTTCCATGGCCTTAAAGTTCGATCATAATAATTCTTACTTTTCTGTTTCGCCTTTTCTAGATTCTGTGCCGCAGTCGTCTGAGTGGTGGTGATTTTTTCAAAGAGTTCATCAAGGTGTTGTGCAAAGGTTCTAGGTGCTATGCTCGTGGAGAATGTTGAAGGTATATTGGCCTTTTCGCCAAAAATTAATTCATGGGGCGTAAAACCCGTGGCCTCATGCACAGAAGTGTTATATGAGAAAATGCAAAATCTTATCCAATCGTCCCAATCGGTTTTAGTGCAATAGTGTTTTAGGTAATTGATGAAAACGCGGTGAGCTCTTTCGAGGGAGCCCAAAGACTGTGGGTGGAAAGCGGTAGAAGTTATTCTTTGAATTTTGAAAATTTTACAGAAATTTTTCATGACTTGACTAATAAAATTCCTGCCTTGGTCGGTGTGAATAGCCCTTGGACATCCAAATCTACTAATAAATTGTTCGGCAAGGGCCTGAGCAACAGTTACTGTATCTATGCTGCGTAGTGGGATTGCATCTGAATATTTTGTGAGGTTATCCTGTAAGGTAAGTAGGTACTGGTTACCTTTATTAGTTATGGGTAAGGGTCCAACTATGTCCATTTGTACCTTTTCAAACGCACGTTTAGGGGTATCGGTAATTTGCATTGGTTGTTTAGTTCGCATGCTATAATTTTTGTTCTTTTGACAGGTGGGGCACGCACGAACAAAATCTACAATTTCCCTTGCCATGCCTGGCCAGTAAAAACGTTCCTGAATAAGTTGACGAAGTTTGAAGGAACCTCGGTGACCTCCAACTACCGATTCATGATGTTCTTTAATAATCTGTGGCCGTCCCGACCTTGGCGGAATTATAGTCTCCCTACTGCATATGGTAATGTTATATTGTGGGTCGTTAAAGATTTCCCTAAGCAAGTTTAATATACTGTTCTGAGCGGAGGAGTCGAATTTATTTGGGTCTATTAAGATACTGAAGGTATCAGAATTCAAAGAGTTTAGTAGATTTTTAAGGGATTTCAGCGAGTCTTGGATGTGGCCAAAATTTAATTCGTCTTGGGGGTCAGTTTTGGAAAACAAAAAGAATACCGAGTATTTATCCTGTGGGAACGCCATGGCATCGCCAACATTTACTTTATATTGTCGTATTTGCTCTATAGATAGCCCTATTCGACTTAACAGTCCCTCGGTTGTGTGGGAGGTATTGGTGCCATTGATGGGGATGAAGTGAACGAGGTTATCTCGTCGTGTAAAGAGGTGGTCTTTTAGATAGAATATAGTAGGAGCGGTCGGAGGGGGTGTCGGTTCATTTGTATCGGCATTTGTAATCAAAATCCTTTTCCCGACATTGATTCTGTTTTCGTCATTAATATATTCTGTATTTTGAAGGTTTCCTATGGGGTTTACCGAATTTACTACCGAGGTCACACCACTGGATTTCCCTGTGCAGTCCTGATCATCTCCATTCACCCTTTCATCTGGCCTCACTGGCCAGGATATACGCAAACCTCGGTCCTCCTGACCGAGTTGCGTACTTCCATCCGGTTCTCCTGTCCGGATGGGATACTCACATTCATTCCCTTCCGGCCTCTCCAGCCGGGATACACGCAAACCTCGGTCCACCTGACCGAGTTGCAAACATCCATCCGGGTCTCCTACCCGGATGGGATACTCAGGCATACAGGGCGCCCCTCTCCCTTGAGACGATACAGGTTGCACATCGAGTACAGATTCCCTCTTACGGCCTCCGAAGCGGGTTCCTGGGGTTCGGATTATACACCCGTTAGCCAACGAAAGACCGCGTTGAGGAGACTCTGGGGTACTCGATTGGGGTGTTCCTTCAGGAAGTTCTCGCGTGAAATTCATTACTGAGCATGATTTTCCCGAATCAAAAGTCTTTAGTACGTTGTTGGTGACCTCGTTTAATTTGCTCGCTGTTTTCCTGCGCGCTAGGAACACAGAAGCTATGAATCTATCGTTTTCCGCGGATAACGCTTCATCCATCCTGTCCATTTCGGAATTTATGATTGGTGGTTTGTCTGCGCAGACGTGCACCCTTCCTAGACGCCTCGGACCAGGATTGGAATCTGCGCGTAGGTGTACAGTGGGACTGGGATTCGCGTTGGCATCGACGGGATTGCGCGAAAGTGCGTCGGCGTTCGCGTTGACTCTTCCAGGTTTGTATATTATATTATAGTCGTACTCGTTTAGGCGGATTCGCCATCTCATTATTTTAGAAGTGGGGTCCTTTACATTGTGCAGCCACACTAGGGGACGATGGTCCGTGACCAAAGTGAATTGTCTGCCGTACAAATAGGGTCTGAAATACTCTACTCCGAATAAAACTGCCGGAAGCTCCTTTTCTATCGTAGAATAATTAATTTCGGCCTCGTTTAAGGTTCTGGATGCGTAAGCTACAGGGAGATCCTTACCTACTGCTCCTTGACTCAGAATGACGCCCACCGCAAAATCGGAAGCGTCCGTGGTGACGAGAAATGATTGCGAAAAATTGGGGAATTGTAGCAAGTGTTCCGCACAAATGGTATCCCTTAGAATTTCGACAGAGGTTTGAATATCCGGAGTCCAGTGGAACGGTACGTCCTTTTTTAAAAGTTTAGTTAATGGTTTTGCGAGTTTAGCTATACCGGGGTTAAATCGTCTGTAGTAACCTACTAGACCTAGAAATTGCTTAATATTTTTCCGCGTTCGGGGTACCGGGAAATCTTTTACAGCTCGGATTTTATCTGGGTCAGGCTTCACTCCTTCACTAGTAATTTTATGACCTAAGTATGCAATTTCTTTTTACAGGAAACGACATTTCGCCGGTTGAAGAGTTAGTCCAGCATTTTGCTAACGAGCCAGAAGGGCCCTCAGTTTACGTGCATGTTCCGAAAGGGAAACTGCGTAGATAACAATGTCATCCATGTAGACAAAGAGTTCAATTCCCTGCAACCCGGATAGCGCGAGGTCCATAACCCGTTGAAAGGCTGCCGGAGCGTTTCTCAGGCCGAAAGGCATTCGATTGAATTCAAAGTGACCATGAGGGGTAGAGAAGGCTGTTTTGGGCTTGGACGGGGGATCTATGGGGATTTGGTGAAATCCAGAGGCTAAATCTAACGTGGTAAAATATTTCGCTCCGCCTAGCTGATCTAATATTTCCGTAATGTTAGGGAGAGGATAAGCATCCGCTACGGTTTTCTCGTTCAGTTTACGATAATCGATGACCATTCGCCATCGGGGCTTTCCAGAAGAATCGGGTTTTTTTGGGAACGATCCATAGAGGGGAATTATAAGGCGTCATTGACGGCTGGATTATTCCACTATCAAGTAAGGAACTTATCTGGTTTTCTATTTCGCTTTTGTGAACCGGTGGAAACCTGTATTGTTTCGTATTTATCGGTAATTTGTCTGTTGTATTGATGGAATGATGAAGAACGTTAGCGGGCATTAATTTATCGCCCAATAAATAGAATTGGTACGGAAATTTACTGATGACTTCTAGTATACTGGTCCTTTCGGATTCGTGAAGGTGGTTCAAATCGAGAGCTTTAAGGAGTTCGCTAAGCCTTCGAGCGTGGTCCTCGGATTTGCCTGCGGCCGAGTTTCCTGTACGAGAAGAACGAGGTGCCAAGGGTCTCGAATCGAATTCCTCTAAGTTTACAGGGGGAATCGTAACGGTAACGTGGTTGCACGTGGTGTTAATCGCGTATAGTTTGACGAAGCCATTTCGTTGGCTGGCTAGAACCTCGCCTATGAAAATACCAGATCCGGCATCAATCCGTTTAATATAACCCGACGCGTTGTTATTCCTCGCAGGGGCCGAAATTAGGACCTTGGTTCGCGGAGGAAGATAATGCGATGAAAAACCAGACGCGAACGAATCTTGCTCGAGTTGTACAATGCATGGGAAATTTTCTTTAAATCTAAGAGTTGCCTGTTGTTTTTGCAGGAACGGTACTCCTAAAATGCCGGCCTCTGAAATAGGGAAATCTACGTCCACTAGTTGGAATTGTATGGGAATATCGCAGATAGATATGACGACCTCGCCTCGCGTTTGGACCGTCCCTGAGCCTATGCCGATAAGATGATAAATTATCTTATATTAACCATTAGGTCCGAAATTAATTCTTCCCGTTTAATTAGGTTAAGTTGGGAGCCGGTGTCGACCAGAAATTCAGCGGAGCCGCGGTGGAAGTGATTGTGGGTCAAGGAGATGGTTGGTAATTGCGCGACACGATTCAAACCTGTTTCGTAACAAATGCAGTGGACTCGGCGCGGGGAATCAGGGGTTCCCTCCGTATCGCGCCCGTTGACGAAGTCACCTGGGAGTTTAAAGGGTTAGCCCCTAGGTTCGCGGAGAGTAAGAGGACTGGGGGACGCGTAGGGACGTGATCGAAACTGTTCCGACGGCACTGTCTTTCTGTGTGCCCTATCTTCCCGCATTGATGGCATTTCGGTGCATAGGGTCGGGGCCCGTGAAATCGATTACCAGCCTCGCGCCGACAAGCTGCGATCAAATGCCCAGGTTTCCCGCAACGAAAACAAGCTCGCTCGTTTACTTGTGTCCTAAATATTCTGGGCCGGTCCCGGGGTGTGTTCGTAGTTTTCAAGGTTCGCGTAAAATCGGCTAGCCCTTCTATTTTGGAGGCTGCCTTAATGACCTATCGTAGATCCCGCAAATCATCCTTGGATATTATACCCGCGATAATATCGTTTCGCAGGCCCTTCAAAAAATTGTGTACCGCGCTTTTCGTGAGTAATGCCTTGACTCCCACGATTTCCTCCGGTTTGAAACCTTCGCGCGCCGCCTGAATCCCGCGATCTAAAATACCATGTACCCTGTAGCCGAACTCCTCGATCGTTTCGTGATCGCGTCGCTGTACGTCCCACAATTCGCTTCGCATGTCGTTAAGGTTAAATGTCCGGGGGTACGCGGATTTTATTAAATTAACTAGTGCTTCTACAGTCCGGGGAGGGTCGTCGCCTACGATGTCGCGGTAGATTAGATATTGCATCCGGCTCTGTATCAACGCGAGTAGATACATTTTGTCCTCGGCCCTAATCAACGAGTCCGCGAGCCTGCACTGGGCAATGAATTGCTCAACTTGGGCTGAATTCCCATCGAAATGGGGTATGAAACTGGAAACCAAGTCGTACGGCATGCGTGACGGGATTTTAGAAGTTTCAGGCGACGGGATCGGTTCGGAAGATCGAGTCGGGGTTACGATCGGGTCAATGGACAGGGTTTGGGAGGAGCACGACATAGGAGGTGACGCGAACATGCTATTAATCATATTTAAGGGGCCGTTCGTCTAATTATAGCCTTGGACTATAGATTGTACAGGAACTAAACCTGCTTCATTTACTCGC